ATCATGTGACACCTATCTTTCTATGCTTCTTTCTCCAGTGTTCCATTGAGTGTGGAAGTGGGACACAACAGAGGGAAGTGATTTGTGTCAGGAAGAACACAGACACCTTTGAAGTACTGGATCCCTATGAGTGTTCCTTCCTAGAGAGACCCCCTAACCAGCAGTCCTGCCACCTCAAGCCTTGTGGAGCCAAATGGTTTAACACAGAGTGGAGTGTGGTAAGTCATGAAGTTTTCAATAGAGACTGCTTAGTGTATCATTCCTCTGCTGCCGTTCCACAGACACCTCATGGCAGCATAGGGCTTGGGCCTCAAATGGATTCTCTTCAGCCATCTACTTCAGCCACTCACTCCTAGGTCTTCTGACTTGACATTCCTGGATAACAGAAGTTTAAGATGTGGATGATCTCAGTTTCTAAATTGCATAAGCAAAAAACAAACCAAACCAACTAACCAACCAACCAAACAGTGAATCTCAAATCACAGTGTCATAAGAATAACCAGGGGGATTTTGTTTGATCCCAGACACACCTTAAGCAGTCCAAAGCAATGGAGACAGATTCTAAAAACTGTTGGCTGGAAATAACCCAGATGTCCATGAATAGGTGAATAAGCAAACTGTGATACATCCAAACAATGGCACAAAAAACTCAGCAAAATCTCAAATGAACTGCTAATATCTATGGTATAGATGAACGTCACATATATTTTGCTGAGTAGAAGAAGCCAGATTCCAAAATCTGTTACATATTATATGATTCCACTAATACAAAGTTCTCTAAAAGGAAAAGCTATAGAGACAGAAACCACGTCAATGAGTGCTGGACAATCAACTGAAATAAATATGGAGTGAATGGTTACAAGAACAGCAAAGACAGTGATAGAAGATAGATTTCTTTAAACACATTTTGCTTTACAAATTAGTTTGTAGCTAAGTAAATATTTTGGATAATTATAAAATTAAATGAAAACCTGAAACTTCTAGAAATTGAAAACACAATGAAACACATTAACTTAAATATGTATTCAGTTGGTGGCTTCTGCACTATTGCAAATGACTTTAAAAGAGGCAATGTATGTCCCCACTTAATATATACTGAGTGTCCGCACTCCGTGACTGAAACTAATTGACTAAAGGATATAGAAACACAGTATATGAATGTAAATACCAGATGTAGTGTGTGTGAAAGAGGAGGTTCTGAGGAAGGCCATTTAGAAGAAAAACAGGGAGGCAAAGCATTAATTTCACAAAGAAATGTGATATTATCTGTTGAAGATATTTTGTAGTTTTATCAACTGTACTAGGGAGAAATGTTCACCTGTTGAAATATCCATTTTGTAAGCCAAATAATAATGTGATTGAATGTATAAAAGAAAATGAAATGAAAAAAAAAGTAAAGTAGCACCTAGCTGATGTTATATAGCTTAAAAAAAGGGAAACTCATTGGGGCCAGCAGTTAGCATAATGGCTATGTTGCTGGACTCCCATGTAACTGACTGCGGTTCGAGTCCCGGACTCACTGGCTTAAACTTATGCCAGGCACGTGTGCATGCATGCCCAAGATCCCATGAGGAGAATGGAGGAGAAGGGATTGCGGCGTGGCCATCCCCCCTGGGGGGTGATTTCTCGCTTTCTGTCTCTCTGTTTCTCTCTGTCTGTCTGGCGAGCGTACACGCCCTGTAGCAAAAACCTCTCCAAAAAAAAAAAAGAAAAGGCAAACTCATTGAAGTATAATTTATATGTAATAAAAATATTTTAAATACAGAAAAATAAATCCCAACTCTTTGAATAAAGGTGTTGAAAAAAGCAAATAAACAAAAGACACAAATTGACTCTCCATCCCTAAGGACAAAAATAATGCAGGAAATATTCGTACTGTTCATAATAATACTATTTTTGGTTGTACTGTGTTCTGGGAAAGGGTTCTGTGTCCCATTGTGTTATGTGTACCATTAAGGGGACAGTTTGACCACCAGTAAATAATGATAATTGAATAAAACACATTATATAAGTTTAAACCCATCCATTCATAATACATTTATAAGAGTTTTGAAAACCTAATAAGTTGTTATTACAGAATGTTAGGGAACAATTCATCATTCTGCAAATTGGTAAATAATAGGAAAGAATCAAGAATTATCCTCTCTTTCTTGAACTATAACATAAGTAGAAGTGGGAATACAAGTATATATTTGAAGATAATAAGGAACTATTACTGGGCCAGCAGGTGGCATTGAGGTCAAAGCAGTTGCATCCCACATGGCCAACAATGTGGCTTGAGTCCTAAACATGGTAGCCCCCAAATCCTGCCAGACACATGTGCATGTGTGCCCAAAATCCAAGAGGAGACTGAAGGAGAAGATATTATGGCACAGATATCCACTGAGGGGTGATTTCTCACTTTACCTGTCTCTGTCTCTGTCTCTCTCTGGTAAACACATGTGCCCTATAGCACAAAAAGAAAGTATAATTAATTTCTAAGTATAATAATGGTATTGCAATAACTTTTTAAGAGTCCTTGACTTTTAGAGCTGCAAACTGAAATATTATGGAAGAAATGATATGATATAGGGATTTGCTTCAAGTGATATGATGTGATATAGGGGTAATGCACACAGTAGAAATGGGTGGGCATATAGATGGAACAGAACCGACCATGAGTTGCTCATCGTTGAAGCTGGTTGATAGGTACTTGGGTGTTTGTTTGAATGCTCTAGCTTTTTGGGGGAATGTTGAAATTTTCCAATATCTTCCCTCTTCAGTGTGCTCAGCCTTTGGATTGCTGAGAAATCTGACTTTTCTCTTTTGTTCTCATGCAGTGCTCAAAGAGCTGTCAGGGTGGCTTCCGGGTCCGGGAAGTGCGGTGTCTGTCAGATGACATGACCCTAAGTAATCTCTGTGACCCTCAGTTGAAACCAGAAGAGAGAGAATCTTGTAACCCTCAGGACTGTGTCCCTGAAGTTGGTAAGTAGGGATTCTGATCTTGGCAAAAGATTGATCTTTCTTAAGATCTGTCAGATTCAGTGGTGTGACAATGCCAAGTACCTGTAGTTTTATCTGTGACCTTATGCAGATATGGGGTTTGCTATTTGTAAGTTTCATAATGAAGAGGACTAGTCGTAGCATGAACAAAAGAAAACTTCAATTTGAATTGATTAAAATGGTAATATATTCAAAGGTTGGGTTCTATCTTCCTTAAAATCAAATAGTAAAATTTCAGCAAACCTAGGTAGCCTGGGCCATGAGAGGAGGCAGTGTGACCTCAGCAGTGGGTTGATAGAGAAAGGAGGAAGGAGAAGAAATCAAGAAGTTGAACAAACAGTGATGGAGATTCTAGTTATCTGAGGGACACAAC